TTATTATTATTATTATTATTACTATTATAATTACATTATTATTATATTACTGTTGTTATTATTACTATTATTATCCGAAATATCACTTATGGTAGGTGCAGATGAATAAACAATTTCATTCAAAATTGGCGCAAACATCGTTTTTGTCCCACTTTATCGTTTGAAATCAACATTATTACATTATTTGATCATTTCATTTGACATTTTTTTTTTCAAATTGTCCTCAATTTTTTTTTAAATTTATTTATTTATTTTTAATAATTTGTTTCGCCAAATTGTTGTACTTAAACGAATTGGTTGGTATTTTTTTGACGAATCAATTCTAAAATTTTCAGTTTTCTTTTCTCTCCATGTTTTCCCTTCTTTTCCTTTCATTAATTTCGTAGCAATAACTGATAATTTTTGCGCTTCGCATAAAAATTTTGCAAGAAGTAAATTTTAAAAAAAAGTTATACTTTGATAAAAGTAGGATTAATTTGACTGCAAAATTATAATAACTGAAATAGAAATAATAGCAGGGAGGTCGTACAGGGAATTTATATGTCACTCCATTTCTTTTTTTTTTTTACTCTTTTGCAATATGCTAATTAGCTACCGATTTAATTGAATATGTTAAATTAAATGGGTAGTAAGAAATGAAATAATCGAGTTTGAAGTATTGAATCAGAAAGCTTAATTAATGACTCATGAATCGGAAGGCTTAATTAATGACTTACTCAGCAATTGGATTTCGAATAGAAGGAATAAAATGAATTGTATGACATTGTTTGAAGTAATTTAAATTTAATAAATGATCAGCAAATTGTACTTTACATAAAAATTTCCTGATGTATATTTTTAATTCGTTCACCTTTCATTTGAGGGCTAGTTGAAGATCACTGAAATCATTTTGAGATTAGAGAGTGATAGGTATTTGATAAAATAAAGCAGAAAATTTCGAGATTAATTTGAATAATTCTCAATGTATTTACATACGTGATATTGTATCCAGAATTAATTTTTGGTAATTTTTTGCCGGAAATAAATATTCAGACTTTCTTAAAACATTCTAATATGCAAGTTATATGCATATTCTTTGATAAAATGTGAAAATAAAAAACCGTCCGACGTTTTGATAAAAAAAAAATTTTTAAAGCAATTTGTCAACATTTATTCTGAAATAAATGTTAGAGGATTTTATATTTTTATTCAAATAAATATGAACAATTTGCGCAATGTGTGTAACAATTCGACTACTATCGGATTTAATATTTCCTTTTTTTTTTTTCAAATTGCCTTTTTACTAAATATAAAAATATCACTTCTTTTCTTTGTAAATGATTTTTTTCTTTGCTAAAAATTGAAAATATTTTATAAGTTACCAAAATTGTTTCATCTCATATTTGTTCTTCAATTTTCAAAAAATGAAAATAAAAATAAAATTAAAAACTTATATGTTTTTTTTTTCTAAAACTATGTTTTCTTTGTTTATTCATTGACAAAATGTATTTGAAAATCTTTCCGATTCAATCACTACTTTATCTCTTCCAAATAACCGTATTGATAATGTTATTGATAATAAATAACAAATAAGGGATAAACTAATACAGCCATATTTGTTATGAAATGAAAAAGTAAAAAAAAAAAAACCGTCGAGGTATGAATTAAAACTAACGATAATAATTTAACTTGATAATACAACTTTCGACTTTTTATTACATCATTTTTGTGATCAATTTCCTTTAATTAATTTCATGAAGCTTTTCGGTTTAATCTTATTTTGTCTTATCCAACTAATAATGATAGTAATGATAATGACAACTCGCTTTCATTTCTTTTGCTTCTTAATTAGCAAATTGAAATTCATCAATTTAAGTAAAATAGACAAGCATAAAAGTATTGAGAGTACTTTAATCATCGTTGTTTATTAATAATCAATAATTAAAGATTTTTCCATAATTACTTTAAAATATTTTTTTTTTTTTTAGAATGTTGTAACTTTAGATAATTTTGAAGTGATGATTGTAATATCATGAAGGATGACGAAAAAATTTTCAATAATTTCAATTTTTTGATAGAATTATCGTAAATTTTTAAATCTTTTTTTTCCAACAATGAAAAAAAATGAAAAATTTAGAAATTGAAAAATGAAAACAATTTTTTCTTTTTTCATTTCTTCCTCTCACTTATTTTCGTTTATTTTTATTTTTATTGAAATAAAAAAAAAAACGAAAAATTTCTTTTTTTATTTCCATCTATAAATTTGCTTTTCAATCCAAATATGAAAAACAATCAGAGGAAAGAGCTATGCGCATTTATACCTTTAACAAAAAAAAAAAAAATTGGTGGAATGCCGCTTCAAAGTGCATTATAGAATTTATGAGAATTGTTTGGAAGAGGTCTGATGTTTGACATTGAGAACATAAATGAAAGGGAATTGATTTTCCATATGGATGTCCTGCCAAAATATCATTCAATTTTCTTGTGATTTTTTTCCTTTTTTTTTTTGTTTTATTAAATTTTACTAAACTTTCGAATAATTTAAATTTTTTATTGCATAAATAGAAGTTTTGATTTGATTGATTGATTTAATCAATGATTTAATTCGAAATTTTAATCTAACTTTTATCTAAAACATAATTAGGGTTTAGAAACTAAACAATTCATTATGTTTTGATCAAGAAGGAAGTTTAAATATTAAAAATTAAATAATGGAAATTCCGAATTTTCAAAGGAGCTTTATGAAGACAGCATAATTTTGAATTACATCATCGATAACCTAATTAATAAATTAGTTGAAAGGAATGTTACTGATGATTGATTGTGACATCATGAGGTTCTTTTCTCTCGTCTTCCGTCTTAAAACAGTGAAGCATATTGATAGTTTCACCTTCATTTGAAATTGCACATTAAAATGATTATGACAAGACTGAAGTAAGGATTGGTAAAAAGATTAATTTTCTCCTAACCTTATAATTAAGCATAAAGGAGGAACATAAAATTCATTTGAGCGGAAAATTATCACAAAAGCAATTGTCATCTGTCATTTTTTTTCCTTTTAATTAAACACCGGAAAGTTTTAAAACTTGCACGTAAATCATTTAGTATTATTATCCACATGTTTTTTATCGCATTTTAAATCAGTGAATTGAATTGATTGTCAATCAGTTGACACGTTAACAATCATGTTAAAATTTTCAAATATTTCATTTCAAATTTTCATCAATTCAATTCAAATGTTTCTGAAATATTTTGTTAAAGTTACAAATTACAATTACATTTTAATATTTCATTTCTACCTTTATCAGTTTTATCATCAATTTGTCTTTTATTCATTAAAACTTATTTAATATGAAAATATTGTTGCCCGAAATTTTTTTCTTAGCATAAAAAAAATTTTTTTTTGAGCAGTTGAGAATTTGTTTTTATGAAAAATATTATCAGCACTTCATCATTCTTCGCTTAATAATTATACAATTGTTATTTCATAATTTATTACGCGGTTAATTAATTATAACAGAATTAACATTCGCTGAATGCAACAAAGATTTCCCTTTAAATTACACAATTAATAATTGTAATTTTGAAATTATGTTTAACTAATAAAAAATTTCGAAAGATAGCAATTTGTTTCCAATTTTCTCTCTTCTTCAAAAATTACAAATTCATTAAAAGTTTGAAAGAAAATTGTTTTAATACGATAAAAATTATTTTAATAAAATCAAAATACGATAAAAATTATATTCTATTCCAAAAAATATGCAAATTTCATTTTTTTAAAAAAAAGACTAATTAAGTAATGTTATCAACAAGAAATATTCAATACCAGATATAAGATAAAAATTATAATTGAATGAGAACAAATAACAAAATGAAGGAAATTTAACCACTGAAAAAGAAGAAAAAAAAAATTGGTCGTAAAGTTAAAGATCGATTATTGATTTACCGTTGTAAATT